TGGCAACTGCCTGAAAGGGGGCCTGAGTTCCCCAGGGGTCCCCAAATGCCAGCAGATGCTTTCAACCACATCCAAAGATGATCAAGTGACACGGGACTTGTCCCAGGACCTCTCTAACCTGGGTGTAATTCGTGTCTCCAGAGATGCTGTCTGAAGGAAAATAGGGAGTGTGTGTGCCAAACAGAATGAACTGGGAGTCCGGCAGCATCTGTGTGTGCTGGTCCCTGTTCTGTGTGGGTCTCCCGGCAGTCCCCTGTGGTAGCAGTGACTCTCCGAAACAAAGTGCAGACCAGGACTTCCAAACCTGACTGCCAGACTCTGCCAGGGAGTTTGACACCCCCCCCCCCCCGTATTCTCTGTTAGGGTTCAGGACTGAATGTTCAGCCTCTACTCTCTGGTCAGGCCTGGCCTGAGGAAGCCAAGCCCAATTTTTGACCTCCTCCCTTTGATGCTCTCTCTACCAGCCTACCTGTAGGATCACACCCTTAACTTCCACGTGGCCACACGACTTCAGAAATCTCAGTTCTCAGCTCCTTAGCCTACGCTGCCTCTTGCTGGGTTCCCAATGCTGACTTTTGGTCTCTTCCTAATACAGCTTTGCCTTGGAGTAGTTTGTACTCCATGTAGTCTAGAACAGTCGATATCAATGATGACTCTTGCCCTGCTACCCTCTCCTGCATGGTTGCATCTAGCCATGGGTCTGTGGAACCCTGGCACCTCTCTAGAGATCAGTTAGTCAATGTCTTCCTCCACTGCGGCTGTTTGGAGGTAAATATGGTTCTCTCAAGTGAAGCCACCTGACAATGTCTGGAGACAGTCTGGGCTGCTGTGCTGGGGTGGAGGGTGCTTTACGCTGGTATTTGCTGAGTGAGAGAAGTGATACTGCACCAGACAGCTTCCCCAAACCAAGTCATTTGACCACCAAATGTCAGCAAGGTTGACCTTGAGAAAGCCAGACCTCCCCAGAGTCCAACACCCATGCAACACGGATGTGCTACTGCAGCAGAGACAAGGGGAGGGGTGCCTCATACTCTAAATAGCTGCAGTTAGACCAGATGGTCAGAGGAGATCCTCCATTTGGAAACCCTCATGTGGGCTCAGGGCCACGCCCTTCCATTAGACAAAGGCAGCTGCCCCAGTGAGCCGGGCGGGCATAAAGGTGACGTGGCCAGGAGTGGCTATTTGATCTCCAGTTTTTCCAGAATTTCCACTCCTGTGCCAAGCATGCCTCTCCACATGCTGTTCCCTGTCCAAGAGCTCAGGAGCCTCACCTAAAGCCATCTAAAGCCATCATCATCTTCCAATGGTGAGGTGTTTCCCCTCTGCACTAAGTCTTCTCGACAGACATCCAGTTCGCAGGAGCCGGAAAGGTACAAGTTGATCAAGACCTGGCAGTTTTCTGTAGTCTGGTAGTTTTGTTTCGTCTGGACTATAATTTCAGGGTTGGAGTGCAAGAGGCATCCTTATGAATCTGCATTCTTAGGAGTCTACTGAAGTGGGTTTGGTCTCTGTTTCCTTTGGGGGAGCTCACTTGGGTAGATTTTAGGGATACTGTTTTAAGTGTGACCTTCAGCTGGAAGGTTACTCCCTTATATTTTTGTAAATCTTTGACTCCATCTTCAGGAGCTTTCAATCTCCTTGGTTACTATGGCTACCCTGTAAAGTCAGATTATTAATGAGGTCCTATATCCCTTGTGCTTCCTCTCTGAGAATGACATTTTATAATCACGTGTGTAGCCTAGGGAGTAAAGATTTACTCTGACACCTGAGTTTTAAGGATTGTCTATATATTTCCTAGAATATTAAACTCATAGGCAGGATCACTAAGGCAGGCTAAATAGTACCTGGAAAAATATTTTTACTTTTTTTAAATTGCTGCTTTCTATTCCATCTACATTGATGTCTTTGAGAGACTTCTTACCCTTGGGTATTCTGTTATCCGGTGACTAGAACTCTGAGTAGAAAAGCTTGTCCTCCCCTGCCACTGTGTTTATTGTCAGAAGCACCTTGAATGGACTGTTCTTTGAGTGAAATAGCTACTTCTTCCTTTGCTATCAAGTTGACCTAGTGGGCTTCTTTTTTTTCTTTGAGTTTGTGCCTATATGGCAGAGTAATGCATAAGAGAGTTTAGGATTGTTAGTTGCAACATTTTTAGGAAAGCATTGGGCTGGTATTTGTAGTACATTGTATCCATGAACAACAGAACTGTTTTCATTGTAAGTGTTTATTGGTTTTTTGGGTCCTACAATGAAAGGGAGGCATTTCTGTGATGACTCTGCCATGGCTTCAGGGGTCACCAGTTCTGAGGAATGGCTTGGAAAAATACATTTGGATTCCCTGACACTCTGGGGGCAGTGGATTCAGAGTGACGTGGATTGGAAATTATCTCCAAGGGATCCTCAGTCACCTCATGCAACATCATGGACTTGATGGGGCTCCCCAGAAAGGATTCTGCTTCCCAGTAAGGGCAGTGACATAACCCCTACTGTTCCCAGTCCTGGCAATTACGTGACATCTGCTGTTCTCAGTACTAGCAATGGTAATGACACCCACTGTTCTCAGTACTGGCAATGGTGTGACCCCCACCCCCAGTGTTCTCAGTGTTCCCAGTACTGACGATGGTGTGACACCCACCGGCCAGTTCAAATCTCTGACAACTCTCCCATTTCTAACCTCCTGCCTCAACCTTGCCTAATCCTGCCCCCAACTAAGAGCTGAGGTTCTTACCCTGCCCTCCTACCACTCCTGACCACTTGGGGCTCGGTTCTCTTAACTTCATCCCCACCCCATTTAATTAGGCTCTTTCTTGGGCCTAGCAGCTCCTGGTCCTGCCCCTTCCCTCCTCCCATTCCTCTGTGGGCAGTCTGTCTCTGAGCTACTTCCCTACATCCCCAGCTCCATATTTTCTCACTCCCAGTTTTTCAAATAGACTCAAGGCTCTCCCATCCTTAAAGACCTCTGGACCAGAGGTTAGAGAGATGCTCAGCACTTAAGACCATAGGACATGGTTTGATCCCCAGAACCCACATGGAGGCTTACAGCCATCCATAACTCCAGTTCCAGGAAATCTGACTCCCTCTTCTGGCTTCTGCCAGCAACAGTGCACAGACATACTTGTAGTCAAAACACCCATGCACATAAAATACCTTTTAAAAATTTAAAAGCCCTATGGACCAATAAGCAAATCTCTCACACCCCAACCCCTCCCTCTAGTCCTGCCTTTCTCCCAGGCTTCAGTCTCAGCCTCTAACACCAGAATGTGGTAATCATTGTTTTTCTACTTGCAGATTAAAGGCCTTCTCAACTTTGTTCTCTTTGCTTCCAGGAGACACCTCTATTTTCTGTTTAACTACCCCTTCTCTGTCTTGGCTTGTTCCTGAGCCATTAAATGTGGGAGTTCCAAATTACTTCCCTCAACCTTGTTCTGATTTCACCTCATGGCCAGTCACTGACATCACCTTTGACTGGCCAGTATCCCATGCTACCTTTGGAAAGTTCCCACTTGCTACAAAAATACAAAATACTTAAAGATCAATGGACTACATGGACATGGTAACTCACATCTGTAATCCCAGAACTAGGATGCCTAAGGAAGGATGATTTTCACAAGTTCCTAGGCTACAGATTGACATTCTATCCGGAAAAAAAAGGGGTAGGGGGTCAAAGAGCTCATAATAACCTACGAAAAGTCTCCATTTTATTAGGAGAGCCATCCTTGTGTCTGTTCACCCACCTATCATGTATGAAGTGTCCACCTATTCCAAACAATGAAAATATGAAGCCTGATAGGGGAAGGCACAGGGCAGAATGAGAATGAGGGTCCTCCTGCGTGAAGCCCAGCCCAGGAGCTGGTTGGCACATTAACAACTAGCTTGCTATTGCTTTCCAGCGATCAGGTTCCAGGATCATCTCTCCACTGGAGGTGGCCAGGATTGTGGCTCATATTCCAAGTGCACTTTAGCCTGAGCTGGGTGCTGGCTTGAGGTACCACTCTTTCCAGACAACACGTAGGATGATCCACCTCTCCCATTCAATGGTACTACTAATAATGCTCCTAGTATTCGTGGGGGATTTAGCTTGCATCCTTGACCTTGGTTTGTTCACTGCCATGCCAATGACCTTAGATGGGTAGTGGGGTGATGTAAGGGAACCCCACTTCTGGAAAACCTCATGGCCTGGGGTGGGGGTGTGGGCAGGGCAACCCATGAGAGGTGAAGAATGAAACTCAGGACAGTAGCATCTTTACGGGCACTGGGTCATAGCCTTCTAGAGAATGGCCTTGTGGTTTACTTTTCTTATACATCTAAACGTAGTAGAACTTGTGACCTGTGACTTTTACAATAAGAATGGATTCTATTGACTGATAAACAGAGCTCAGGGCTAGAGCCTAGAGGAAGGATCATTGGAAAGCATAACGGTAGATTCTATTGGTGAAGGATGTAAAGTACATGGCCCTCTTTCATAGAGCTGTGTTCTATTCACTGAAGGATTGGGCCTAAATGGTGCTCAGGATATTGGGGGAGTCAGCTGGAGGCTGAGAATCACAAAGCTGATTGACCACGATTCACTGGCATTCCAGGTGACGAGGCTTCATTCATTCCCTTCATTGAAGAAAACAGGCCTGAGTGATTGACATTCCTGGTTTCTTCAGAGCTTTTTCTAAAGCTGTGCTTCCTACAGTGCTACTGGTCCAGGTTAAGCCCAGGGAGACAGCCAAGGTCTCACTGAGTCCCATGACTGCCTGCTCCCAAGTGAGGACCTATGAGTGTCTGACAGGGATACCTCTCTGTCACACAGTATGCTGAACATGTGTCATGATAAGATGTTCCAGGACTTAACAGTGGAGACCTGAATTTGAAACCTGACTCCCCTTCTCCAACCTGTCTGTGGACCAGTCAAACATCTTGTGGGCCTTAGTGTGTATGTCAAGTGTTTTGTAAACAGAAGATGTCACACAAAGCCCAGGTGATGGCCTGAACCACAGTCATCATAACATATAATCACAGCTGTGGGTTTTAGATAATTGTCTAAGGATACAAACAAAGTAAGAACATACATGTGCACACATTGTGTATTGAAGCCATTAGAGGTGTTTACCCTGCCACCCATCATCCATAGGGCCGGCGATTCGTGTCTGTAAAAAAAAAACAAGTGGTTAGGGTTGTGATGGAGAGAAATGATTTCATGTTAGCCAACTGATTAATAGGGAGGCTGAGAGCCACGCTGCCTTCCCTCTGCCTCTGCTTTCTGTGGTTACTCTGCAGCCCAAACCACAGAGGAAGGCAAAGCTAGTGAGCCTAGCAACAGATGCTAGGGAGACAGTAAACTGATCTTGGGCGGGAGCCCCAGTCTGGCTCATTCTGTGACTGAGCTGGTTAGCTGTGATCCTTATGGTTCTCCAACAATGCTGGCCATTGTATTTGATCCTTCTACAGGAATCCCTTTAAAATCAGGTTCCTGGGCATGACCTTGTACACCTGAGAACTGATGTTGAAACTCTAGATTTTCCTTTCTCTTAAGATACCACAGAGGGCCGGGTGGTGGTGGTGCACACCTTTAATCCCAGCACTCGGGAGGCAGAGGCAGGCGGATCTCTGTGAGTTCGAGGCTGGGCTGGACCGACAGCCTCCTAAACAACACAGTGAAACCTTGTCTCATAAAAACCAAAAAAAAAAAAAAAAAAAAAGATACCACAGAGGATACACCCACCACACACACATACCAACCCCCTCACATACACTACACACACACAAAACACAACACATACATATACCACACACACCCACAGACACATATCACACATGCACATACCACACACCACACACACTACATGATACACACCACACACACACACCATAAGCTGATAGGGACAGATCTTTCCCAAAGCCTACTCTGTGCACAAAGAAAGAAATCCAGGGCTTAAATAGTATTAACAAATGTATGAGCTCACAGGTCAGTCAGTGCCTGGCCGTATGGAAAGGCTGCAATTGCAGAGCCAGCTTATTAGAAATGACTGGCCATTGATCATGTTTACCAAAAGGAGAAAACTGGACAGCATCATATACTTAACAGCTCTTTATATAAAAACCCTGGGTCCTACAGGCCATGGAGGCACATACCTGTAACCCCATACTCCAGAGCTCGAGGACACCATCAGCTACATGTGACCATCTTTAAAAAGGAAAAGAAAAAGCCCTTTGACACCACCAAGTTGTTGGTCCAAGGGATGAGCTCCCCTCAGACTTTGGAAGGTGTCCTGGGGCTTCTTGACTGATGTGTTCATGTGTGTGGGTGGCTGGAGTTTCTTCAAGGTAGACTTTTCTATTGCTCTGCTCGGGCACTTCTGTTGGGGTGAAGATTTTGTATAGAGGTTCACACCCCATTCTAACAAGTGTCACTTTTCTTGCATCCTTCCACACACTTTGCACAAGTTAGTAGTTTCCCTTCCCATTCCTTACCCTCATTGTGGCCTTGCAAGACAGTAAAAAGAATAACAAGGCGCAAGGGGCATCAGAGAGGTGCTGGTGTCAAAATTAATGGAAGGCAACTCTGAGCCTCTCCACTTTATTAGAACATAGATTAATTTATTTAGTTTTTGTTTTATGTTGAGACAGAGTCAAACTCTGCAGTCCTGACTGTCTTGAAACTTGCTATATAGACCAGGCTGGCCTACAACTCAGAGATCTGCTTGCCTCTACCTCCGTTGTATGGGCTGGGATTTTATTTTTTTTTCCTAAGAAGACGTTTCAATTAGCTAAGGCTGGCTTCAAACTTAATACAAAGCCAAGGATAGCTTTCAACTCTTAGTCCTTGGGCCTCCTTCTCCCAAGGAGATTATTTGCATGTGTAGCCAGGATAAGTCCTACAATTTAGATTTATATGTCACCATCAAGGGTAGGTACTAAACATGCTACTCACTATATGGACTTCCACCCTCTTGGAGCTGGGAACTGTCCACAGTCACTAATAAGGCAGGCTGGGCTCACCTAGGTCAAAATGTGACACCCTCCTATCTGAGAGAGCAGGGTGTTGGGGTGGCAGCTGCCATAGCGGGCTGGCTCTCTGCAGAACCACAGGACTCACATGTTTGTTGCTATTCTGTGGCTGGCGGTGTTCCCCTACTCTCTTGAGCCTAGTAGTTTCACCACCCAACTCCCTCCTTTTTGGGGGAGAGGGTGGCAGGGAGGGTGGGCTGCAGATTTTCCCTTTCTTAGGTCTGCCTCACCTCTCTGTCATAGTCCAGTTCTCAGCTGTTTTAACTTATGGCCCAGCTTCCCAGCAAGAGGAGGCAGCAATGGGTGGGGGTGGGGTTCCTGCTGGAGGGCAGGAGGGCAGCAAGAACAGTGGTCTGTGATTCTTCGCTGGACTCCTGGGCACAGACAGAGACCTTGTTTATGAGCTTGTTAGAAGCCAAGAGATACGGGGGTGGGGGTCAGGGGGTGTCTCTATGTCAGCAACCAAAGTCTTCAGGTATTGTCTGGGGACAGGCAGAGCAAACAAAGCCTGCCCCTGGGCTACGATGTTGTGGGTGTCCCAGGGTTCCTGGAATCTAATCTACTCATCTAGGTCAGAATACACTAGCAGGACTCTGTTATTAACCGGCCTCCACTCTCACCTGTAAAGTTAGTCCTAATGGAATTAGTTGTACCCCGCATAAATTCCACCACCCTTTGCCATTACGATGTTATCTAAAAACTACTCTCTCCAATGATATAAACTTTGTAGAATCAGGCACTTTAAACGGGTATTACGTTGAGACCGGATGTTGGAAGTTAGTCCCCTTCTTGGCGGGGAGTTTTCCTCATCTGAGATGCTTAGTCAGAGTTTGCACCTGTTCTCTTTCAACTTGCACGTACTCCCAAACCACGCCCCTTCGTCCCTAAACCACGCCCCTTCATCCCTTCGGGCTAGGCTCCTCTGCTTTCAGGACCCATCTTCCTCTGGCTCCACCCTCTGGCCATCCCAGCCCTTTGAAGCACTGCCCGGAGTCGTGGTGTCAGGATGATGGTCCACACGCTCAGGCCAGTGCACACACGTGTTCGCTGTTAACAAGAAGCATGTCCTCCGGATGAGAATAGGGAGCCATAAAGCTCAGATATGACTCTGGCTTCTCCAGAATTTTTCTAGTGATTCCAAAAAAGAAAAACAGGCCAAGGAACCATGTTTCTTTTCTTTCTGAGCCTGAAGAAGGCCCTTCTAGAGCGGAGAAAACAAGTCACCCAGGTCTGCCGCGGACCATGCTGAGATATGCGGCCGGGATCCGCTAAGGGTGAAATCTGTGCGGTTTCCTTTGGGTTGCTTCAGTCCATAGCGCACAACACTGGAATCTTCTGTTTGCTTGCCCGCATGGCTTTAATTTTAAATCAGAGACGTTCCTACTTAGTGGATATGGAAGAAGCGTGCTACAAGTCGGGTAACTGTCCTGCGTGGAAATCAGTTTCGTGCTGTCCTGTTGGCACAGCACCGAAGCCTGAATAGAGGAGATGAAGGGCTCCAGACACCGGATCCCCTGGACCGCGACTGTCACCGGGGCCTGATGTTCGCTCCTGTCCTGAGTGGCCAGGGACCGTAGCTCTGTGGTCCCGAAGGCTGCGCCAACTCAGAAGACAGCTGCGGCGGGGACAGCCGCGCTTGGGCAGAGGCTCGTGCGCTGTGGTTCCAGCTCAAGCCACGCGTGTCCTAAGCGAAGGCATGCTTCCCGGGACTTGGGCTGGTCTCCCACGCTGACTCAGCCGAGGGACGGCAAGGGCGTGGTTGCGGGTGGGGTCCCTAGGGTCATTCCCCTCCGCCTTTCCGGTGTCAGCCTCAGGGACTGGGTGGTGATTGATGGTACCGCAGCTGGCTAGCTAGCCAGGAGCAGAGTGAGGAGGAAGGCGAAGGCGGATCCGGAGGTTCTGAGGCGGAGCAAAGGGAGGAGCATGGGCGGGGCCTTGAAGGAGGAGCTTAGGGTCCCCGGTGGGCGGATTCGGATGGACCTCATGGAAGGAGAGCTTGGGTTGGGAGTACCACCGTGGGTGACGCGATCCACTGAAGGGCCAGGATGGGGCCGCGTGTGGAGACAGACGGACCCCCGTGTGGGTGGAGCCGGGGAGGAAGGGGCCTACCCCCTGGAAAGAGCGCGGGAAAGGGGCTGGGAAGGAGTGGCGGGCACAAAGTGGGTGGGGCGCGGGGCGGGGTTAGGCGGAGCCGGGGCGGAGTGTGCCCGGGGCTCCTCTCTTGCCACCCCCACCCCCGGCCCGGGGCCACCTGCGCCCCGCCCTACCGGCCGCACCCCAGCTGGGGAACCGCGAAGTCGGCTGTCCAGGATTCGTATGCGCTAGGGGGATCATCGCGAGTTCTGCTTCTGCCTGGACCGCTGTCCTGAATCCGGAAATGTGGTCTCGCTGAGAGCCCTCGGACTGAGCGGGTCGGAGGCGCGAATTCACGGGTGGGAAGTTGGTCTGCACTCCGGCAACATGACCAGCCCGGCGGGAGCAAAAAACCAGGAAATCGACTGTCTGAGTCCAGAAGCGCAAAGACTGGTAAGAGGAACACGTGGTTCAGACTTGCGCCTGCCAGCAGTTCCCGCAGAGCTGGACTCTAAAGTCAAGGGCAGTGGCCCACTCAGTTGCAGTGGCCTGAGCCACTCCTGATGCCTGCGGACAGGTGGTTGGCTGAGTGCAAGATATCTGCAGGTGGCGCTCTGAAAAGTACATTTAATGTCCCAACACCCCTCTCAAGGACGAAAAGGAGCGTGGTCTCTCCCTCCGCTCCTAGTGGCGGTCTCTAGGCAGGCTCTGTCCAGCTGAGTGGCTCTGGCCTGGATCCAACAGTGATTGGAGATGTGCGTGTGGTGTAGAGTTTCACAGGGAACTACTAGTTTGGTATTTTGCAGAGTATAACACCCTCATCCGGAGGCACCACCTTGCCTAGGGCTTACAGGCATTTGACCTTAGGAAAACCTCCCTCAAGGAGCCAGGGCCCTAAACCCACTTTGGCAGGTGTCAGTCTCTGGTCTTTCACTTACCGAACTTAACATGTGGAGGCTTGGTGGTTAAGCAGTGGTTTGACCTTAAAATCGGGGATCAGCAAGTTGGGAACCTCTGGTTGTTACAGCCCTAGCTCATGGTTGTGGTTTGGGGGCCTGGAGTTGAGACCGGATGGGACTATGTAACACTTACTAGCCTTAAACTCAAGATCCTCCCTTCTCAACCTCTCCAGTGAGCAGGTACCTCCCCACCCAGCCCTTTGCTGTGGTTGCTTATGAATGGGAATATGTAAAAGCAAAAGGCTCCCTTTGAAACAATGTGTTTTATGGAGTTAGTACTACAGAAAGGAGACCCAAGGTTCCTACTTTGTCTGGTTTTTGCCAGTCCTTGATAAAAGTGTGAGCCCCAGTCACTCATTCGCCAGGTAGCCTGTAGTTGGTGTTTGTGTGTGGAATAGTCACAATGAGACTGCTTTGTTTGACTGGGAAGGTGTAAACTTTGATTACAGTGATAGTCCTTGCTGAGGACTGGGGGTGGAGGGCTGTTACTCTATGCCGTCACTTGAATTTTGGCTTGGGCTTTTGGAGTTAGTCTACAACTTGTGGGCCTAGGGACAGAACCTGCAGGGCCACTTTGGAGCCCTCCTCAGTGGAGCCTTGAGATCTGGGAGGAGGGAAAGCTTCTGAGACAGTGCTGTTAGAACAGAAGCCCAGGCACACCATAGAAGGCAAGAATTGGGAGGAAGTCAGCTCTGGGCTTGTTCTAGCACACAGGAACCAAGCGCCGCGGAGTCCTGGGCAAAGGGAAGAACAAACAGGCAAACACTTAGAAGATCGAGTAAGGAAGGCAGGGAAAGACCCAGGAGGTGGGGACTCCACCTCCAACAGGTCCGCTGCTCAACACTTGGAGCCTGCCTGGGCCACAGACAAGATACTGCCGAGCAGTAGGAGACTGGAACCAAGTCCTCTTCCAAGTGCTCATTGTGCTAATCAAGGCCCACCCTCCCTTCCAGAATCCAGGAAGCACAGAGCACTAAAGAGTGAGTGTTTATATGTAAGATTATGTCAGAATTCCTGCCCTATCCTAGATGAGGCTATTTTTAGTCTTCTCTTTCTCTCCTCTATGTAACGTAACCTTCATACATTGCTCTAAAGCCCTCTCCGTTCATTTGATAAAGGACTGCTACATAACAAAATATGGTCTGTGCCTCCTCTTACCCTACTACAACCTATCAATGCTGAATTCTGGAACATATTTGGTCCTAGAAAATTCTAGAAGGAAATCATGAATCTTTAAGAGGTTAAAGAAACAAAACGTGGCCCCTGTTTATGAGGCTAATGGGCTGTTGGACAGGAAGTGTGCAGGGGTATGACAATGGCCGGTGTGTTAGAAGGGGGGGCACCCAGCTGCCTTGGACCCTGAGTTGAGCATGTAACTGGAGACCAGCAGTGACCGTTACAGAATGGCTTTTGTGTTCTGCAGTAAATGCCCCTGGCTCGTAGGAGCAAGGCTCTCTCTCCCGTGGACAAGGGCTGGGTTAAATGGTTGTGAGAGGACAAGGTAAGCAAGAGGAAGAGACAGACATGTGACCTCTTCAGACCAGAGCTAAGACAAACGGCAAGGTTGGAGCAGAGTGTGTGGTGCAGGCCTGGACGCCTGCCACGCTGGCACTCAGAGGCTGGGTTGGAGAGAGCCCCAGTTCTAGGCCAGCCGAGGCATAGCCAGACCCTGTTTCAAAACAAGTAGGAAACTCTAGATGCTGAGGCACTCAGTGGAAGAGTGCTTACTTACCTGTCTGTGTTCACGGCCTCAGCACCACAAACGAGGAAAAAGGAGGCTAGGAGGGGAGAAGCAGTGTTGACAGGGTGCTAGGCTGGTCTGCTGGTGAGAAGTCTGAGTCTCCACATCCCCGGGGGAAACGGACATTCTTTTTCTTTCTTTCTTTCTTTAATGTATGGGTGCTTTGGCTGCATGGATGTCTCTGCTCCCCCTGCCTGCCTGGTTCCAGAAGAGGACTTCAGATCCCCTGTACTGGAGTTATAGACAGTTGTGTGCCACCATGTAGGTGCTGGAAATCGAACCTGAGTCCTCTGGAAGAGCAGCCAGTGCTCTTAACCACTAAGCCATCTCTCCAGCCCCAAACTGCCATTCTTTAAACTTCCATAACTTCTTGGCGTTGCTGAGGGTGTGTCCACTCTGGCCTCTTTCCACACAGTGACGAGCATTGACCCTGAAAGGATCCAGTCCACACCGGGGCAGGGATCGGATAGAAGGGTAGAAGTTAGCCCCGCTAGGTGTGTGCAACTCATGGCCCACAGGCTGCAAAGCAAGCAGGCTGTCTACGAATGCAGTCCTCCACAAAAAAAAATAGACTTACTTAAAGCACTGGGAGATGTTTGTTTGTTTTGTTACTCGGTCACAGGGTTCTCAAATGTGAACTCTGTAGATGACATTGTGTCACAATAGAGCCTCTCTCACAGGAACCTGTATCTCAGTCCCCAGGTTTATGAACTGTCGTTTTTAATGTGTTGTCTCCCCAAGTAATTAAGGTAAAAATAGTAAGTTCTTTTCAGTTATAGCTCCGAAGCCATTTGCTTCATTTTTTTCAGCCTGACTTATTTTATTACTCTGTGTGTGTGTGTGTGTGTGTGTGTGTGTGTGTGTGTCTCCCAAGCACACTTTTGAGTGTTCTCCTCCCCCCCTCCCCAAAAGGAACCTCTCAGCCACTATTGCAGGCAGATAGATGGAGGTTGACTTTGAAGCCCTTGTGCTTGAGGTTGAATTCATGTGCTCCCTGGCTTGGAAAGCATGGGGACCTTGGAAGCCCTCCAAGTCGGTCACCTGCTGCCATAGTACTTACTGACTAGGGCACATGGGTCAGCTGCCCCCCTGTCACTGCTGGAGCCAGGCTCATCCCAGTCAGAGGCTATGGCGACCAGGCCATTCCAATGTCAGCTCCTGAGCCCAAACTTTCCCAGTCCAGGAGACCACGAAGTGCAGTGATAAAGGCCAGGAACTAAGATGGAAACAAACATCTTGTTGGGTGACAATGGAGACTAAATTTCCCTTTTTCTCTAGGTTAGTTTCTGTTTAGCCTAACAGCTCACATAGCGGAAGCCTCCTTTGCAAACTGCATAAAACTTAAGGTTTAGCCACCACCTACCCGCTGTGAGAGCAGGAAACGGTTATTTACGGTGCCATTTCTCAGCACAGTTGACTGCTTAGTGTAACCTGCTTAAGTGAGATTCTTAGTCAGTCGACTGGGCAGAACCCGGTCAGGCATTGGTACCACGTATTTGCTCCTCAAAAGGCAAGGCACTAGAGGAATGGCTTATCCCAGAAGACTCAGGCTGTGACTCAGCATTGGAGATGTTTGTGACCAGTTACTCAGATGCCTGGGTTTCCAAAAATTCCGTTCAATTTAAAGGATTAACCTTGGAGCCCAGAGACCTTTCCTTGCAGCTTTGGGAAGGCTGGGGGCTGGGGGAGGTGGAAGGTGTGTGCGCCAGGTGCTTCAGTAGCTGACTGCTTTTACCGGAGGCCACCAGTTCCGGTTTGAATTTTAAAGAGAGAGGCTTACATTCTTAAGATGGATTTACAGTACTTATTGGGGCAGTAGATGTAGTTAAACGAATTGACTTCTTTCTCCCAAATTAAGCCAAACATTAGTGTGAATACACCCTAGAATTAATTCAGAATTGCCAAGTGATTTCTGACCACTGCCACAGTCACTTGCCTCCTGGACAAATTCCAGAACTACCAGTAAAAGAAGTGGCAACACCAAAAACCACCAAGCCACGCCTAGCCTTGCTAGTGTGTATCCCAGCATTAGACAGGCTGCTTTCCCTCGAATCTAAAGTATGGCCACTTTATAACAGATAAGTAACTTTCCCTTGAATCTAAAGTATGGCCACTGTATAATAGATAAGTAACTTTCCCTTGAATCTAAAGTATGGCCACTGTTTAATGGATAAGTAACTCACCTTAAATTACTGGAAGGAGAGTTTACTTTTAATGTTGTCAACACTTGTCTAATGGAGACTTTTTTATCCTTCAGAGTAGCAGCTTTTTTTTAAAGGTGTATTTTTACTTTTTAAATGTGTGTGGGTGTGTGCCTTGCACACGAGTGAAGGACGCTAGAAGAGGATGATGGGTCTCTTGGAGCTGTAGTTACAGGGGATTGTGAGGGTCTCCTCACCCTCCCAGCCTAATGTGTGTGCTGAGATCTGAACTACAGTTCTCAAGATTTATCAACAAGAGCTTTTAATCGCTGAACCATCTCTCTCCAGCTGTGGACACGTGTGTGTGTGTGTGTGTGTGTGTGTGTGTATGTGTGCACGCGCGCGCGCGTAATTTTTTTTCAAGACAGGGTTTCTCTGTGGCTTTGGAGGCTGTCCTAGAACTAGCTCTTGTAGAGCAGGCTAAAGAGATCCGCCTGCCTCTGCCTCCCGAGTGCTGGGATTAAAGGCGTGCGCCACCACCTCGCGACTGTGTGTATAATTTTTGTTGTTATGTTATTGGAGGGGAATGGATGTGTGCGACAGTATATATATAGAGGCCAGGGGCCAACTCTGTTACAGTCTTTCCTTCCGACTTCCCATGGTTCTGGAGGTTGAACTCAGGTCGCCAGGCTTTCATGCCAAGGGTTTTTACACACTAAGCCATCTTACTGACCCACCATTTTTATTTTACTTTTGGGGGCCCAGGTTTTTAGCTTGTGAGCCAGACTTTCTGCATAGTGGTGATCCTCCTGTCTCACTTCCCGAGCCCTGGGGTTGCATTGCAGGTAAAGGCCACCATTGGCTCACAATGTCGGTTCTGATCCATGTGTGGGGCAGAGCAGTTTGTGCATGTGACAGGGATAGGGCTGGGAGGAGGGAGACTTTCCTAGAGGAAGTAGGGTAAGGAGTGGGCATGAGGTGTGAGTGGCAGTTCAGCCCCCCCCCCATCCCGTGTAACCTGGGCTGCTTGTCTTGCACTGCTGCGCTTGGTGGGAACTGCAGTCATGCTTCTCCCTGCATCAGTGGCTGTCACAGAAGACTTCATAAGTGGTGGAAGCAGCTGAATTTCCCAGGCCCCTGCTGACTCGGCCTGGCCGAGGGTTATGTAGACGATGCCAGCCATTACCACAAAGGACTCGACAGTCACCTCTGATTTACAGATAAAGAGCAAGTGGGGGCTCCAGAAGCCAGGAGGCTTGCTGAGTGCCCACAGACGGGGGGGGCAGAACGTTCAGACCCTGGTCAGGTGACTTGGAACTGCAGCTGACTGTGGTAGCACTGTGTACAGCGCTTCAGGCCCTGGCAGGGAGCAAATACGCCACCGGTTGCCTCCACTGCAGTTTGCACCATGGCCATAAGGACAGCCCTGGGGTGTCATCACTCCGGTACCCTCCCCACAACTCCTTTTTTGACACAGGTCTGGTGTCCTGACCCTCCCACTTCCGGCTCTGAAGTGCTGGGATTACGAGCATGTGATACCACACCCAGCCTATTACTCTCTTCTGTGTCTGGTAATTTTCACGTGAGAGAATGTTGACCGGACTTTATTTCCCTAAATAAGAGAATAGTGGAAATGGAAGGCTGGTAGAAACCTCCGTTTTGCTATTTTTCAAGTTATACGGACATTTTCGATGTTACCTGAGAGTCTTTGTTTTACGGGATCGAACCTCGCTCGGCTCATGCCCACAAGCACTGCTCACAAACACTCCAAGCCTGTGCCAATCACGAATCACCATGATTCAAACCTTCAGCTTGAAGATTGGGCGGCGCCTCTCCACCTCCGCCCAGACTGACCAGTTCATGGGATGCGAACATGGCTTCTTCCACAACTGCTTCCAGGAAATGTTGACTGAATACAAGAGGGGTTGTGTTGTGAGAATTCCCTGCCTAAGGAGATGTAAACACTGTTCCATCCAAGATCCAAGGTCCCATCCACAAATCGAAGTACCGTTTCACTGAAGTTCAACCTTGGGAAACAAAGCATTTATTTGGCTTCCTTACAGAGATCATGGGTGAGGGAGTGTGGCTGACTCCAAAG